TTCCTTGCCCTGTTCCTTCAGAGGGAATGGAAAATCATTTCATAGATGGCACTTCATCCAGCAGCCACTGACTTGGGCAACCCAAATGATCTTAGCATTGCCTGGTAAATGGAGATCCCTTGTTGAGATGTACCTGGTGGGTGGTTCTGCTGCCTGGAAGCCCTGACAGCGGCTCCAAAACCCTCTCTTGCCTTCTCCTGCATCTGCTGTTGGGTGCTGAAGCACTTGAATAACCATTCATGGTTATCCTGCCTTCTTCAAGTGATTCAGTCATGAAATTTTTCTTTGCCCTGATTGCAGATCACGTATAATAATGCTGCTTTAGTCATATTTAGTCATCAAACCTATTTAAGCTTTCCCAGCAGAACTATAATATATTGCATTTTTTAATTACAAGAGAAACATTATTCCACTCCATGTGTGATTTTTCATTCTTCTCTTTACAGAGGTTATTTCTGCTTAATACAGAACAAAAAGAAAAGTAAGGACAAAATGCTACTGACAATGTCATCTAGCCCAGAAACACATCAATAATAAGCCTGTGCCTATTTGGGATTGATTTGGGATGAAAGAAAATACTGAAAATGAGTATTTCCTGAGAAACACAGATTCTGAGTTTTGACAAGCTCTAGTAAACTTGAAAATCACTAGATTTTTAGCTCAGGGATCAGTTCCTCTGTTTCTCTCAGGAGAAGACTCAACAAAACTGCAATTAACATGTGGTCTATACCCTACCTGCTTTGTTAGAAACATACAGAGGACTGAAATCTCCCAAGATTGGTCAGTTTTTCCTTTTCAAGTTCTGGGACAAAAAATCCAAACTGAAAAATGCCACTTTTGGAATTCAGCACTACCCATCTTCCTTTTTTAAAATCCAGCTTTAAAATTTTGTAGAGGGTTTGTGTAATCACATCTCTGTGGATGGATTCAGTCTCCCAGAGCAGAGACAAACAGAATTGCCCAGGTTGGAAGGGACCTTTATGACCATCAAGCCAAACCAACAACCCAACACTGACAAACCCACCACTGACCCACGTCCCTCAGCACTGTCTGCCCAGGTTTTAAACACCTCCAGGCATGGCCACTCCACCACTGCCCTGGGCAGCCCATTCCAAGGCTTAATAACCCTTTCTGTTAAGAAATTTTTCCCAATATCCAGCCTAAACCTCCCCTGGCACAACTTGAGGCCGTTTCCTCTTGTCCCATGGCCTGTTCCTTGGGAGAAGAGACTGACCCCCCCTGGCTACACCCTCCTTTCAGGGAGTTGGAGAGAGCCAGAAGGTCTATGTTTCTTTTATGGGAAAGCATTAGAAGAGAAAAACCTCAGGAAGATGTTAATTCCCAGAAGCAGTGGCTGGACTCTCCTCTTGGACCCATGGAAGTGGCCACAGGACATGCAAAAGCAGCCCCATTCACTGCCCACCACCCGCTTTCACATCTCTGGAGCTATTTCTGCCTGCAGAACGCGTTCCTAGGGTATATTGTCAGAGGCCCTCATCCTACAGAACAGGGTACAGCTTCTACCCCGGCCTTTTTCAGAGAAAAAAAACAAACCAGATTTGCCAAACACAGTCCTCCAGCAACTCACATGAGTTTTGGAATCTCTCCATCCCGATTAAAAATGAAAATGATGAAAAAAATTGAATGCTTTGTCACTTCAAATAAAAATGACATTTCTTTCCTACAGCCTCAATTTCACTTTTAAGCCAAAAGATCTAAAATGCTCAAATACACAAATAATATTTTGTGCCAGGTCAAATGAAACATTTAGTGTGATCCAAGGCTTTTTTGGGACTTTTTGATTTGCCAAATCTCTGTGGGTCAACTCAAAATATTTTATTTATTTTCTTGAATTGACAGCAAACAAACAGAAGCAAACCAGCTATTCACACAGTTTCAGCTGAAAACGATCTTAAAATATAGAGAGTTTGGTCATGAGAGTGAACGACCTCCAGGTCCAGATATATTCCTCCTTGGCTATCTTCCCCAAAAGATTTGATTTTGCCTTCCCAGTCTAAATTTTGCTTCCCTTGTGTTTATTATTTGATAAAGTGCCAGCAAACGTACTCATAGGAGATCAGCAATACACCAAAGATTATCTTCTTGCTGCGTTAGTTGGATTCTTAAGCTGCCTGTGGCTTTTTTTGATGTTGAAGTAGATTTTATTCTGCTGTCTGTCTAGGCCATGTCCCTGCAGCGCCAGAAGCTGTGTGCACAGAGGAGGCTAACGCAGAATTATAACTGGAGGGATAAGGAGTTTTGTCCAGTGCTCTCCCCCTGGTTGGGCTTATTATTTCTGGGCAAAAATCTAACCAAATTAATTACTGATGTAACAATCCCACGCTGCTGTACGTGACCTGCACTTAACTTATCTGCGGGACTTCCATTTGAAGCATAAAACTCAAATTTTAAGTGTTTCCCTTGACAGCTCCCCCCCCCAGGTTAGCAGAAGATGCCTCAGGGAGACAGCAGGGCAGGTTGGCATGGGGCAGGTTGGTGTGGGGCAAGGGGGCAGCAGGACAGAGGTCCCCACAGCCCGGATGAGTCCATCACCCTCTGCCAATGCTCAGAGCCCTGGGCTAATCCCAAACAGTGATTTACCCTGAGCTGTGTGTTTCGGGGGGAGCATTTAGGATGCCATGATTGGGAGAGATGTTTCTCTGTGACCAGGGGAGATGTTTCCCACTCCCTCATAAGGCCAGGCTGAGGGAGATAAACGACTGATGGCAGAACAATCACCTTCCCTCCTCCTCTGGCCCATCTGAGGAGGAGGAAAGGTTTGCTCCCCTCATCCCCCTTCACCCTGCCTGCAGAACCACAAATAGCTGCACGGTGTCACACACCACAGGTGCCAGCACAGGTATTAAGCTGAAGGAACACTACATGAGCTTTTTAGCCAATTAGCATGGCTGCAGGGGGGACCATCTGGAGTAAATCTGCGAAGCAAACAGTTCACGGAAAGCCAGCAGGCAGCCCAGGGGATCGCTGCATTTGTTTGGTACTTCATTAGAAAATAAGCACAGATCTTCCCTCTCCAGCACGGAGCAAACCAGCACTCAACCAGATCTCTGAGGGTTAATACAACTGTCTCCACTCAGTGACACATCGGTAAGAGGGCTCTGAATCACTGCAAGGAAAAGGTTGGGAACACTCTAGTGACTGCAGTTATTTGCTGGCACAGCCAAAACAGCTGCTCCGGAGCTAATGCAGAAATGTATTTTCCTCCTGCTTTGTAGTTGCAAAACAATGCTAATATCAGCTCAGGGTTGGGTTCTGCAGAGGGGCAGCAACTCCTGCATCAGAGAACTGGAACAAACCAGGCCGCTACAGCCGGCCTCTGGAACTCCATCCTTCCCTGTGTTTATATTTTTCTCCATTAGAGACCCACAGCAGGAGCTGTGAAACTCCTCACCCCTGGGCTGGCTCCTGCCAAGGCTTTGCTGAGCACAGAGAGGCTGGGCCAGGCTGGTGCTGATGCTCCAGGGACCAACCACCCACCCTCCTCCTCCTCCTCCTCGGGGCCACCCCTGCCTCTGGAGGATGCCACAGGATGTCCTCAGAGCTGCTGGGACGGGGACGGCTTGGGGGTGCAAAGGGGGCAGCAGAGCCCGCAGACACATGGCCCAGGGGAAATGCCCCTTTTATGGCAGAACAAATGGTGTTCCTACAACCAATTGGCATAAGCCCACAGGGAAACAGGCTGCGTGTCACAAAAGCACCTGCTACTAGAAACGGGGCATTTTTCAGGCTAATCAGATTTTCCTGTTTTCTACAGCAGGCAATCCTAGCAATTAGTGCAGTAATTGCAATCACTCAACTAGGTGCAGAGCATCCAAACTCCCTTTTGCAAAGTGTTGTTCAGATACAGAAATAACAGGACTGGGCAGGAGTGTAAGACCAAAGCTCATCACTTTTAGCTGGTTCAACATCACCCCATGTTGTCTCCAGAGAAGAGAAAAAAAAAAAAAAATCACTAACAGAGTTTAGGAAGCAAAACATCCCATTTAGCTTCTCTCTCCTCAGTTAGCCCTGCTGAGGGAGCATCCGTCGGGGCAGAAGAGCACAGACCTGCACCTGGAGATGCTGGGGCTCTGGGTCAGGTCTGTGGATGCAGCAGCACATTGTGGAGACACCACGATTATGCTCATCAGCCCACTCGCGCCCTAATTAATTAGGGAGCTGTTGTGAAGGCCAGGGTTTTTGGATATATACAATGATGACAATTAAAACGTTGGCGTTTGTCAACAGTGGCCTCACCCCAGGCAGTGCCTAATGTCTGTGTGTCCATGGCACTGCCATAACCATGGTAACCCAGGGCACAGAGTGACATCTTAGTGACGGCCACCACCCGGCCTCGGGCCATCGCTCCCACAACCAAATGGCCCACCAAGGAGCAGATGAATCACGTGGCATTCCTACAATGCATGAAAAACACTAAGCACTTTTAGGGATTGAAGCCATTTATATCTACCTCAGAAGGGAAGGAGAGAGAAACATCACACAAAAGCCTGTATTATGAAGAAATAATGAAACTACCACGGCCTGCTGCAGCAACCACCACTGAACCCTCATCATCCCCCAATAGCTAGCACAAATTGGTATCTAAGATACCAAAATTATTTCCTATTTTAAGTAGAAGTGCCTCTTACTACACACTGCCTTTATAAATGGCAGCAGCAGCAGCAAAGGGCCCTCACGCTCCGTCACTGCCAAACCGCAGGAGAAAAATCTATCAGTTACAAACCACAGCAATCCTCAAGCAAAGAAGGGGATGCAGATGCAATACAGTATTTTATTAACACTTTCATACAATCCAACCTGTTTTTAAAGAAAAAGATGATGGAATCCTGTATTTTATTACATTTTCGTCATTCTGACAAAAAGTCTGTTCTCTTAAAGCATCCAGGAATTACACTACTTTCTCCACAGTGAGGGAGAGGACTTGAGCGTGTATAAAACCCAGTCTGTAAAACTGCCTTGTATTTAGAGGTTTCACTTACCAGAATGAAGAGACAACCAGAGGCAAGTTTTGCGTGTTCAGGAATAGTAGAAAACACGGACAAAATCAAGCAACCAAACACAAGGAGAAAACTGAAAAAGAAAGAACATTAATAATTGTTAATACTTTTCAGAACCCTGACCCTGATCAATCTATTGATCCTACTTCACCAACGTTAACAGAAGACAGTCAACGAACAGTCTTCATGAGCAGAAGGGAATTCAACCAGTACTTAACTTAGCTCGTTAGAGATGTTAGAATAGCCTGTTGCTAAATCCCCACACTTCTCAGCAGCACTGCTAGAACTAATGGAAACAAACCCAAGAAACAGGATGTTCTTGGTGAAATGACGCAATATACACAGACGCCACTTTTGGTATCACAATCCTGCACCTTTACACCGCCCAGGTACTCTTAGTGGCTTTACAGAAAGATCACCAACAGGAGAGCCCTCTCCCCAGTCTGAAAAGTCATTTCTCCCACAACTGACCACAGATACCTGTGGCAGGAGCTCATCAAAGAGCTAAGGAACACATTGCAGCCACTGTCCTTCTGAGACAATTCCCTTCTGAGCAACGGGCTTCACGTACCAAGAGCTGAGTGACAGCATCACTGTCCCAACAGGAACGGGGTCCATTAATATCACACAATCCATTGGGGGAGTTAAAAAAAGAGTGAATTGAGAAAGTCTTACAAAAGTCCTGCAGTTACCACTGGGAAAACAGGACTGTGACTTGGAGCTTGCACGAGTTTCCATGTTTCATGACCTGGTGAACACATGCAGGTAAAGCAAAGCACCACGTGCTGCTCAATCTCTGCAAGAGGCAGAGACCTGGAATCACTGCAGATGTTCTGCCTTATCCCATGTCTGGTCCTTCATACAGCACGCGTGGGGGTTGCAGGTAGGAGCCTGCAGAGCTGGTGTTGCCCTTCCCCCTGTACTACGGGTGATAGGAAATATGCTTTCCCATTGTGCTGCTTCACCAACAACGACACCACCGTGTGCTGGGGAAACCACCGATGAACGGGAGCAGAGAAGTGGATTTCACCCGCACCACCATGAACACTGCTGAGCAGCCAGGCTGCAGGCTCCATGAGTCAGTACAAGGCGGTGCATGCTCTACACTTTAAACTCTTGCACTGGATTTTGCAAGTAGTAATGATTGATTCTATCAGCTTTTTCCTAATTTCCTTCTTAAAACGCTTGCTGGTCATGCTGGGCAATGAGTCAACCAAAGGCAGGCCTTTGGCTTTTCTCTCACTTGCTGGGACTCCTGTTAGCAGATGAAGAGGCACTGTAAATCATGCCTCTGAGAATATGTCTGCGAGAAAGTACAAATGGCTCCTTCCTGGTACAAAAGGGACTCAGATCCCTTCCAGGGACAAAGGGAAAAAACACAGAAATTACAATCTATGTAGGGGGTGCATATGCTCTGCAATATGGTGTTTCCATTAACTAACACAATAATTCTGAAGACACAGAAAGCAGCTTTTAAGAAAAGTACCGGAGGAGGGGGCGTGTGGGGGTTTCTGGTGGCCAAGCTGAACATCCCTCAGCTCTTGTGGCAATGAAGCCCAACCACAAGCTGAGCTGTACTGGCAAGAACAGAGCCAGCAGGTTGAGGGCAGTGATTAGTTCCCATTATTTGGCATCTGAAAGACCACATCTGGAGCCCCGTGCCCAGTTTGGGACTTCCCAGCACAAGAGAGAGATGGACAGGCTGAAGCGAGCCCAGTGGAGGGCCACCAAGGTGCTCAGGGGCTGAGCAGAGCTGGGCTTCTCCAGCCTGGACAAAAGGAGGCCAAGACCCCCAAATGCTATCCCCAGCCATCTAATTCCCATTATAAAGAAGTCACGGAGAATACAATTTGCAGGACAGAAAATTACGATGAGCCACAAGGAGAAAAAAAAGCCACAGTGCAGGTGGCTCAGCACCAGAAGAAGTTGCCCAATGGCACTGTGAAATTGTCAGAACTTGGCTGCAAAAGGCCCTGCTCTAACTTTGGGGTGAGCTTCGCTCTGAGCAGGAGGTGGGACTCGATCTGAAGAGGCCTCTGCCAACCTACATTCTTCTATGATTCCAACTACTGGATACAAACCTCAGTATGTTATTGCAACTACCCCCACTTCAGCTCCAGGAGCTAAAATTGCTCTTTCCCTTATAATATATTACAGCACTATGGAAAGTCCATAAAGTAGTGCTGAAATACATCCAGTACTTCAGACAAACATCTAAGTCCATTTCTTCAGAATTTCTATTAGAAAATCTGATGTGCAATGCAATGAGACATCGAAAGCACATTTTGTAGCATATCACTTCACTGCCGGGGTGAAGTTCTACTCCAAAAACAAATCTGGTAGGAGCCTGGATATGAGCTCTACCCGGAGCTGTAAATAAAAGAGTACCCAGGAGGGAAAAGGCTGTCTCTGGCATGTACTCTTGGCAAGTCTCTCTTCCAGACTAAAGAAAGTTAAAGATCAGCACATATATGCTTTACAGGTTTCACAAGAAACTAACTCAAGTGACAAAAATCCACCTTGTGAGCAATTTTGCTCCCCTTCCCCCTGCTTTTATTAAAAAGGAAAATCTCCCAGAACATTACAGGCTGTTTCAGCTGCTACAGTCCTCAGGTACACCCCCCCTGTAATTACACCCTACTGGCACAGCCATAAAAGTGATTTCTCCTCGTTAAGGCTTGCGTGGAAGGCAAAACAAAATTAAGAAGTGACTAAGATTTTACAGTAAAAGGATCATTTCCTTTTGCTCAATTTCTTCAGTCCTGCATCAGTTAAAACGATATTTTCTTGCTTCCTTTGTGCGTAGGTATTAAAAAATTGCTCTAGTTTAGTTGTATTCCAGTAACACGAACTAAATGGGAGACCCAGTTGCACTGGGTCTCGTCCAAACACACAAGCTTTCACTCAGAAGAGATCTCTTAGAGCACAATCACAGAAAACTGCCACAGCAGGAAAAGAAAAAAGTGTTTTGTTCCCATATCACAGGCAGAGCCCAGGGCACAGGAAGGTAAGGGACCTGCCTATGGCTCCACAGAAAATCTTTATATGTGGAATAAACCTGAACCTTAAGTCCCAGCCCAGTCCCGCAGTCACAAACCCACCCCTTGCTTTGCCACAGCCTGTCAGGACTGGGATTTAGAAGATCCCTCTGCAGTTACTTCATGGTAGATGGGAAAAGCGAATCAGTCAGGGGACAGATAACCAGCGCATTAGCTAATTCATGGTAGATGGGAAATCAGTCAGGGGACAGATAACCAGCGCATTAATCAGAATAAAGGTAAATATTCAGGAAAGGCAGGTGCAGTTTAGCTTAGCACCTTGTAGACATCGTTCTGCAGATTACCCAGGAAAAGCAGGGACAGTCCTTGCAGAGAGACATAAGAATAATCTTGGGAAGACATTTTTCCAGACTTCTATCACCTTTTGTTCTCAGTTTTTCCAGGAACTCTACAGGGAACGGAGCATTGTCACTCATTATTATGATTAAAAAAAAAACAAAAGAAAAATGTTTGCATTTATCCACCCACACATTCAGATCTCTCTCCTCTATCCCTCCTTCCTCCCTCCAACGCTGAACACCTTTTTTATTGGCATTCAGCAATATTATATCTAAAAGTAGCCTGTAAGCACCTTGGGGGAGAGAGAATCCCAGTCCCGTTGGCCTTGCAAAACTAAAAGCACACCTTTAGGTGCTGTAAAATACACCACCAGCAACAAAAGTGAAAAGATTAAGTGTTCTGGAATGTTTTCTGTGGTTTATTAACCACTGACACGTTTTCCTTCAAAGGAAAGCAGTTGTCAGGATTCACTTTTCACCAGCAAAAGGCGAGTTGAGTACCCAAAAGGGCAACAAAGCTGGTGAGGGGTCTGGAGCACAAGTCTTATGAGGAGAGGCTGAGGGAGCTGGGGGTGTTCAGCCCGAGACAGTCCTTGCAGAGAGACAGAAGAATAGTCTTGGGAAGACATTTTTCCAGAATTCTATCACCTTTTTTTTTCCCCTCAGTTTTTCCAGGAACTCTACAGGGAACGGAGCATTGTCACTCATTATTATGATTAAAAAAAAAACAAAAGAAAAATGTTTGCATTTATCCACCCACACATTCAGATCTCTCTCCTCTATCCCTCCTTCCTCCCTCCAACGCTGAACACCTTTTTTATTGGCATTCAGCAATATTATATCTAAAAGTAGCCTGTAAGCACCTTGGGGGAGAGAGAATCCCAGTCCCGTTGGCCTTGCAAAACTAAAAGCACACCTTTAGGTGCTGTAAAATACACCACCAGCAACAAAAGTGAAAAGATTAAGTGTTCTGGAATGTTTTCTGTGGTTTATTAACCACTGACACGTTTTCCTTCAAAGGAAAGCAGTTGTCAGGATTCACTTTTCACCAGCAAAAGGCGAGTTGAGTACCCAAAAGGGCAACAAAGCTGGTGAGGGGTCTGGAGCACAAGTCTTATGAGGAGAGGCTGAGGGAGCTGGGGGTGTTCAGCCCGGAGAAGAGGAGGCTGAGGGGAGACCTTATTGCTCTCTCCAACTCCCTGAAAGGAGGGTGTAGAGAGGTGGGGGTCGGGCTCTTCTCTCAAGTCACAGGCGACAGGACGAGAGGAAATGGCCTCAAGTTACGCCAGGGGAGGTTCAGGCTGGACATTAGGAAAAATTTTTTCACTGAAAGGGTTCTCAGGCATTGGAATGGGCTGCCCAGGGAGGTGGTTGAGGCCCCATCCCTGGAGGTGTTCAAAAGACGGGTTGATGTAGTGCTGGGAGGTCTGGTTTAGTGATGATGCTCCTTGTTTGTTGTGGGGGTGTCTATTTTTGTCAGTTAGGTTGACGGTTGGACAAGATGATCTTTGAGGTCCCTTCCAACCTAGAAGATTCTGTGATTCTGTTTTTAACTGTGTTTCCCTGAGCCACGCAGTGACAGCACCCTCTTTCCCTGGCAAGAAGAGGAGGCACAGGGGGGACGGCAGCACCTTCCACCCACCGGGAGGTCGAGGAAGGATCCATTGGGCCCCCGGGGGCTCAGCCCCCACCTCCTATTTGTTCAGGACGAAAAAAAAAAAAAAAAAAAAACCAA